TTGTTATCAGAATTAAGTTAAATAATGATACAAACACTTAGTATGGTAGTAGGTAGCATTGATAAATACTCAGGTTATCGTTGTGGTTTTTGTTATATTTATTGGAGAGTGTTATTGTTGTTAGGTGCCATCAAGTTGGTTCCGACTCCTAGCAACCCCGTGTACAACAGAACGAAACACTGCCTGATCCTCTGCCACCCTCACAGTTGTTGCTGTGCTTGAGCCCAAGTTGCAGCCACTGTGTCAGTCCATCTTGTTGAGGGTCTTCCTCTTTTTTGCTGACCCTCTACTTGACCAAACATATTGTCCTTCTCCAGGGGCTGATCCCTCCTGATAACATGTCCAAAGTACGTGAGATAAAGTCTCGCCATCCTTGCTTCTAAGGAGCATTCTGGCTGTACTTCTTCCAAGACAGATTTGTTCATTCTTCTGGTAGTCCATGGTATATTCAGTATTCTTCACCAACACTGTAATTCAAAGGAGTCCGTTCTTCTTCAGTCTTCCTTATTCATTGTTCAGCTTTCACATGCATATGGGGCGATTGAAAATACCATGGCTTGGGTCAGGCACACCTTAGTCCTCAAAGTGACATCCTTGCTTTTCAATACTTTAAAGAGGTCTTTTGCAGTAGATATGCCAAATGCAATCATCATTTGATTTCTTGACTGCTGCTTTCATGGGCGTTGAGTGTGGATCCAAGTAAAATGAAATCCTTGATAATGTCAGTATTTTCTCCATTTTATTAGAAGGTAAAGGCAGAATATTTGAGAAGGTTTATGACTAATGATGTAAAGTAAGATTTAAGGTTATCTACCACCCAGAGGCAGCTCGGAAGAGGCCTGGTGATCTGCTTCCGAAAGGTCACAGCCTTGAAAACCCTATGGAGCAGTTCTACTCTGTACCCATGAGATCTCCACTGACTAGACAGCAACTAACAATAACAGTAACTGAGAGTGAGAAGTGCTAGGGATAGAGCAGGGGGCAAAACAGAGGGGAGAATGTTGTGAACCATTGCTGAGGTAGAAAGGAGTCAGAGGCAGTCAAGGACAAGTAGCGTGTTTTTATATTTATCCATGTAGTTACCATTTCTGGTGCTCTTATATTTCTTTCTTAAAGATTCACATTTCCATCTGGTAAAATTTCCGTTCAGCCTAAAGCATTTCTTACAATGAGGGCCTTCTGGTGAAAAATTGTCACAGCTTTTTTAATCTTAAAATGTTTCGGTTTGCCCTCATTTTTGCAGGAAACTTTCACTGACTGTAGAATTCTAAGTTGACAGAGTTTATTGTTTTTGTTTTCTTTTAACACTTTAAAGATGTTGATCCATTGTCTTCTGTCCTCCATTGTTTCTGGTGAGAAATCAACCATCATTCTTATCATTATTCCCTTGTATAAAACATGTCTTTTTGTTTTCTGGCTTATTTTAAGATTTTTCTCTTTAGTTTTCAGGAATTTAACTATGATGTACTTAGGTGTGATTGTATTTATTTATCCTGTTTTAGGTTCGCTGAGCTTCTTGAAACTGTGGGCTGATGTTTCTAATAAGGAACATTTTGGCCATTATTTTTTCAGCTTTTTTTTTTCTGTGTGATTCTCTTTATACTCTCCTTCTGAGACTCCATTTGCACATAAGTCAGATCACTTGATATTGTCCTGGAAGTTCTTGAGTCTCTGTTCATTTTTATTACATTTTCTTTTCTCTCTCTCTGTGTTCAACAAGTGGATGTTTTACCTTGGTAGGACTGGGGTGTTCCCTCAGGGGAGGAAATAGTTAAATATAGGATCTCACCTAGTTATCTTCCCTTTCTTCAGAGATTGTAACCTCTCCATTTTCTGCCTAGTTTTGATAATCCTTCAGTGCTTATAAATTGTTATTTCTTAGATTTGTCCAGAGTTTGTAATAGTTATCTGTGGGAGGGTTAGTCTGATACAGGCTGCTCAACTATTATTGGAAGAACTTGGGAATATGTTTTCAAGCAGAGCTGATGGCTCAGCTTACTCAGAGACAGTGCCTATGCCTTGTCACCAGTCTATAGCTGTGGGAAGGTCTGCAGTGGCTCTATGGCCTGGTTGGGTGGGAAATGGGGCCAGAACAGGTATGATACAATGGACAGTTAGGGGACCAGAGGTTTCTCTATAGTCAGAGAAGCCTGGAACTGAGAATAAAGGTGTTAGAGAGTTGGAGAGATAGGAAAATGTCTTCTTTCAGTCTTAGATTTCTTATTACCACCTATTTTGGACAAGCTGTTATGAGGCATAGTAGAGATAAAGTATGTGAGTGTCCAGTAAATTGTGTTTATGATTATGCAGGCCACTGGGTTGAGCTTTGCTGGACTTAATCCAAATGGCACAGTTCCTAGTCACGTCACCTGGTGACTTCTTTGCCCTCCATGGAAGCAGAATGCCGTATGCACAAGTGAGGTTGAAATGGTGTTGTCATTGTTACAGTTGTCATCAATAACAACACTATGACTATTCATGGTGCCCACCTTTGGGGGACACATATCTTTATGGTTCTTTGCTGTATTGGTACATAGTTTGACTGTGTTAAAAAAAACAATAACAACAAGGTTAACAGTGAATTAAACAACATTGTCTGGGTGTAAGCAATCCAAGGATGCTGAGGTGACTCCCCAGTGTCAGGGGTCAGGCTTCCTCTGTCTTGTTGACCTGTCATCAGTAGTCTGTCATGCTCATCTGTGTGGACCAATGTGACTCACCACTACCATGTCTGCATTCTAAGCAGTTGGAAGGGGAAAGGGGGCAGCTGTGGGCACAGCCCCACCCATGACGGACCTGTCCAAGATGCATACATCACTGTCACATTCCACTGACCAGAACTTAGATACCCAGTTGCAAGAGAAGCTGAGAAATACATCCTTTATTTGGGTTAGCCGTAAGTCCATTTACACACCCAGAATCTTACTATTATTAAAGGGGAGATTACATATAAGGGGGCAGCTGGCAGTCCCGGCTACTAATCCTGAATGCACACATCTGATTTTTAGCTCAAGACTCACTCTACAGAAGGAACTTGGCACTACCTGTGGAGCCCATTGAGCACTGATGAGCTGAGAGATTTCTACCTCTTCTGCACATTCTCCACAGTTCTAGTGCCCTGATATATACCGATGAGTAGATGTTGAGTAACTGTTGAGGAACAGAGCTGAGTCCACAAGCCACTTCTCAATTCTAAACTTATTCCTCTGTGGCTATATCGTGCAGAAAGGGTGTGCAAAGCTTGAGTAGGAAGAGCCTAAGTGCTGTTAAGGTTTTAGATCCTCCAGCTCTTCCACTGACTGGCAAAGTCACGTGAAGCATGTCCTTTAACTTCCCTGGTCTGTTCTTTCATCTCCAAAGGAAAGGATTTGGATTGGATTGTGTTTAATGTGTTTATCTAGCACCCATGCTTGAAATTGTATGGTTCCTTTACACTCCATATCTTTGGATTAAAGCAAGCTTCCAGGAGGATTCAGCCACTTTAAATTTTTTGTGGAATGAGTTGGGAGTGTGAATATGTAAACACACATGGCTACATGCATACATATGTACACATGCATGCAGTCAGCCTGGGGGTCCTGGAGCATGGGTTTTTCTATTACCTTGGGCTTCCCTTGGCTGTGTTGTTATTCTCAGAAATCACTGCATAGTTTTCCATACAATTAAGTTTGTTTTCAAACTTTATTTTATTTTTGTTTCAGAATACTTTTTTTTAATTCTAGAACTATTAAATGTTTATTATAGAAAATTGAGAAATGTATAATGAAGAAAGCAAAAAAAAAAAAAAATCACCCATATTATCACACCTTAAGATACTGACACTAACAACACTTGAGTTATTCCTTTTACTTCAGTGTCTAAGAAAATATAACAAACAGTTATATGTCTTTTAAATTAATCAAATTGGGATCACACTACAGTATATACGATGTTTTGCAATCTGCTTTTTTTCACTGGATGACCACTTCCCCAGATCCTTAAATATTTTTCAAGAATGTGATTTTTAATGGCTGCTAGGATCCTGATCACGTGGGTGTACCACACTGTACTTGACCAGTGCCCTGGACATTCGGCTGTGTCTGATTCTTCATTATTATTAATTAGGTAGCAGTGATAGCTCCATTTCACACTGACAGCAGCTTAGCTCCTACTCACAGACACTGGGTGCAGTTAAGGTACAGAGAGGTTGGGTGGCCTGCCCGAGGTCACATAACAAGTGAGTGGCATTTCCTGGCCATCTGGTCCAAAGGCTGACTGCACCCTCCCCAGCTGCCTCTCCCTGGGGCCAGTACACAGGGGCATAGGCGTGGTGCAGGCATGCTAGTGACATTTGGCTCCCAGCATGTGGGTTTGGGGAAAAAAAGAACCAGTGGGTAGTGGGTGAGGTTTCCCAGTGAGACGCTACTCTAGGTGGTCTGCGAATGCCCCCAGCAGAGAGGAACCCGCTGTTCCATGCCCCCATGCAGCAGCAAGCTGCCTGCTCCCACCATGGGGCAGTGGTGAAACCTGACCCAAGTACCTTGTGTCCCAGGGCTGAGGGGAGAGGCTCTGAGAGCAAACTGGGGAGGCTGTTAGGGGAGGAGGCGGGTGGGGACTGGCAGGCTCAGGTAAGGGGCCTCAGTGGCTCCTGCTTCCTCAAAGCTCCCACCTGAGGGAGGCCAGGAGGTGCACATTCCAGTGACCTTGTTCCTGGGGAAGCCTCCTCACCAGGCTCCCTCTCTCACTCCCTCTCTAAAGCATGGCTCCTCTCCTCAAAGAGTACCATCACCACCACCCCCCCACACACACAAGAAGCAAAAACCCACCACCATCCTTAGCTTAAACCCCCTTCCTCTGAGAAGGATGAGAGGGGTTTACTGGTGGGTGAGTGGGGGTGGGCACAGGGACAACAGGCATGGGTGTCCCCTTTTGCTGGTTATGCCACTGCCTGGGGTCACTGAACTTTTGCCACTTTGCCTGAGACCTTTAAACTTTGACCTTTATGTGCTTTTCTCTGACAGGCAACCATTGGGATTGACTTCTTGTCAAAAACCATGTATTTGGAGGACCGTACAGTGAGTTCCAACTTTAGATCTTTAGAACTGGGTGGGTGGGAAGGAATCCTTTGGGTTTATCATCTGGGACTCTCAGCTGGGCACCACTGAGAAAGCCTGTGGCCACCCGGGAGGCTGGCGCTGCCAGGGTCAGCACTGCGCAGCCTGGGCCTCCCCCACCCCCACCACGGGGACCTGGCTGCCTGGCACTGACCCCTCTGCCCTTGGCCCTGCTCTCCCTGTGACAGGTACGGCTGCAGCTCTGGGACACAGCTGGCCAGGAGCGGTTCCGCAGCCTGATCCCCAGCTACATCCGGGACTCCACAGTGGCTGTGGTGGTATATGACATCACAAGTGAGTACGTCTTGGGTGCCCAGAGAGGGTGCTCATCAGGGCTTCAGGACCTGGGTGAAATGGCAGCCAGGCTGCAGCCTGTGTGTGTGTGTGTGTGTGTGTGCACGTATACATGCGCGTGTGCAGCTAGCATTCTATGCGTGCGTGTGCTGAAGCAGTGCCCTCAGCTCCTGTGGAAGGCATTTGCCCCATGACTGCTCCTCTCTGCAAGGCCTGTCATGGCTTCTGACTGAGGAGAAGGCTGCCCAGAAATGGCCTTGCCTCTCCTGGCTTTTTATCTGCTTTTGGCTCCCCTGACTCTGGCCCTGGGGCTCCCTTTCCTCCCTCGTCTCAACTTGCAGAGCCTGAGGGTTCTCCTTTCCCCAGCTCTCCTGAGCAGGGCTTCACAGGGGCCTTGGTGGGGAGGCTGCCATGTAGGCCCCCTCCTTCTCTGGGGGCTTCTTTGGGCCTTCTCTGCCCACCTTCACCGCTCACCCTACTCTAGTGCACCCATTTCTCTCTGCTCTGTGCCCCCAAAATCAGGTCTGGCTTTCATGTGGGCCCCAAAGTCACTAGTCCATGCAGCAAGTCACAGCACAGTGGCCTTCCGGGTAGAGTAACCCCTTTCCCCCCAGAGGGTGGTTCAGCAGTGCAAGGGGCTCTCCACGGGCCCAGGGCAGGGTCCGGCTCCTTTGTGGCAGCTCCACAGACACACATGGGCTTCCCTCTGGAGGGTCCCAGGCCCAGCTGGTCTGTGCAGACTTGCTTCCATCTGTCTCTCTTACTCCTGGTCTCCCCTCCATCTTTCCACCTCTCCCACTGGGAGCTTGTCTCTCACTCCCAGTTCTATCTCTACTTTCCATCTCTAGATCTCAACTCCTTCCAACAGACCTCTAAGTGGATTGATGATGTCAGGACAGAGAGGGGCAGCGACGTTATCATCATGCTGGTGGGCAACAAGACCGACCTGGCCGACAAGAGGTAGGCACAAGGACGCAGAAGTGCAGGGGCTGGGACGTATGGATGGTGAGTCTGTGCTTCTGACCTGTCCCCATGCCTATTGGAAAGGCCTTTTGGTACACTGGGGCCTCTGAGAATACCTAGGAGAGCCCCCACTCACAGTATCTCTTCTCTGAAGCCCCTATCTCTCACCACCAGGCAGAGCCAGGGGCAGGGTTCTCCTGTGTACTGGGCTGCATGGACTCTGTGTGCCTGGTCCAGCCCAGCAGTACATAGCCCCAAACACAGCAGCAGTCCCTCAGACCCCAGCTGGCCTCTGTGTGTGCTTTGCACCTCTGCCTCTGAGTCATGCACACATTAGTGTGGGGGGGTATGAATGGCCCAATCCTCAGGTGTGAACGTGCAGAATTTCTAGAGAGCATGAACGTACTTCCTCAGCCCACTCTCCCTGGTTGGTTCCTGTGTCTGGATGTGAAACTTTCTCACAGTGGCTACTCCATCCCTGCCCTCCAGTGCAGAGGGCTGATTTACATGCTATTTACATATATCTGTCCCTGGGTGTCGCAAATGGTTAAGCATTTGGCTACTAAATGAAGGTTGGTGGTTGGAACCCCCCCAGCGGTGCCTCGGAAGGAAAGCTTAGCAGTCTGCTTCCGAAAGGTCACAGCCATGGAAACCCTGGAGCACAGTTGTGCTTTGACACACACGGGATCGCCGTGAGTCGGAAATGACTCAACAGCAACTGGTTGGTTGGTCCACTCATCTCTTGTGATCCTGACCTAGGCAGATACAGCGACAGGTCAGACTCCAGCAAAGCAGTCTGGGCCTCCTGAAATGCACCCTGACCATTTCAAGGGTAATCTGAATTGTGTCCTGCTTTTTTAGAGTCCCTCCTCGAAGTGAGGAAAGCTGGGCCCAAATCCCAGCTCCTTCGTGAGTAGCTTTGTGATCTTTGTGGAGTCACTTCTCACTTGTTTTCTTATTTGGAAAATGAGACTGATAACGCCACCCCAGAGAGGCAGTGAGTGACTCGAAGCTCTTTGCAAACATGTTGTTGTTAGGTGCCATTGAGTCTATTTTTGACTCATAGTGACCCCATGTACCCTGGTAGTGCAATGGTTAAGTGCTCAGCTGCTAACTAAAATGTTGGTGATTCGAGCTCACCCAGTGGCTCCACAGGAGAAAAACCTGGCAATCTGCTCCTGGAAAGATTACAGCCTAGAATACCCTATGGAGTAGTTCTACTCTGTCACATAGGGTCACTATGAGAACTTTACAGACACAGACTCGTCCATCGTTGACAATTGGGCAAGGCAGGTATGGCACGACCCCCACCCCAAGCCTGCCCCAGGGCCTGCTCCTAACCTGGGAAGATACTAAAGAGGGAATAGGGAAAGCGTCTGATGTCCTACTGTGCACGCTTTGTCCTGGAGAGACTATGCTTGGAGACTTGGGGACCCCTGATACCAGAGCCCTGTCCTCATGGCTGACTTGGGGACCTGGTCTTCTCCTTCTGCCCTGCTGAGCAGACCCTTCCTCACCTCAGGTTCCTCCCTCCACCTCTACCAGGGGCTTACCCTCTGCTGAACTGATTCTCCCCTCTGCCCCTCGTCTCTAGGCAGATCACCATCGAGGAAGGGGAGCAGCGCGCCAAAGAACTGAGTGTCATGTTCATTGAAACCAGCGCAAAGACGGGCTACAACGTGAAGCAGGTGAGGACACTGGTCCCGGCTTGACCGTGGAAGCCCTTGCAAGAGTTCTGGGCATGGTCAGCCATGGACTGGCCCCTGCCTTGCCCTGAAGGGCTGACGACTGGGTTGGGAGCAGCCAATGAGAGCAACCATAAAGCCACCCAGTGCGGGGACAGGCTCACCTCTAGAGCTGGTAAAGCGTGTGAGAAGGAAGCTGCACAGGCCCTCAGAGGGGCTACTCAGCAAATGTCAGCCATTAGCCGCCGCGTGCAGCCACCAGTGAAGTGGCCCTTGTGGCATCCAGTCAGAGTGTCCAGCTACCAGCCTGCATGTGGCAGCGAGAAGCAAGGTCTCCCTGATATCTTACCTTGTTTTGGATGAGGGGTGTAGGAAATTCAATTCAGTCAGCATTTTGAGGGACTTGTGCCTTGTCGTTGGCAAGCGTTCTGGGCTGGGGAGGGTGAGGTGGGCTTGGAGAAGAAAGTTGCCGTGTGGTGTGGTTGGAGCTCACGAGAGGGAGAGGCCTCGTGAGTTGGCACAGTCATAGGAGCCACAGAGGAGGTGGAGTTAGAGCTGAGCGTTGGGGCAGCGGTGCTTAATCTGGGCCCACAGAGCCCAGGTAACCCATGGATAGAATTCAGCAGGTCAGCAGACTTGGGCTGGAAAAAATTCCGTCTTTATCTTCACTAACCTCTAACTGGAAACCCTGGTGGCATAGTGGTTAAGAGCTACTGCTGGTAACCAAAACATCGGCAGTTTAAATCCACCAGGTGCTCCTTAGAAACCCTGTGGGGCAGTTCTACTCTGTCCTGTAGGGTGGCTATTAGTTGGAATCGACTCAACAGCAGTGGGTTTAATGGAACCTCTAACTGATCTTTAGCATTTCCTTCAGTGATGAGTGTAGGCAGCAAGCCTCAATGATATTAACATTACCCATGACTTTATCGCCAGTAGAACTCACAGATATTTTCTTATCACTTTGTAATGTGTTGTTGTTGGGTGCCGTCGAGTCGGTTCCGACTCATCGCGACCCTATGGGGCGGGGGGGTTGGGGGTGAGCTCAGTGAAGAGCCTGGTTTCCCTGGGCCCTGCCAACCTCAGCAGAGCCTGGGAACACTGGACAGCCTACCATGCAGCAGTTCAGCCGTGACCTTGACCTGCTGGATGCAGTGATGGCTCACCCCATGTGGGGAGGGGCAGTACTAGGTGACATGGGGAAGAAGGGATGCAGAGGAGCAGGAAGAGAGAGATTGGGAAGGGCATCAGCCAGGGGCAGTCACAGGTACCCCTGTATGGGCTCCCAAAGCTCCCAGGGCAAAGTGTTCCCCTCCACCTGAACTGCCCTTGACATGGCTCTGACCACGTCCACTCCTCTCTCAGTTCTTTCAGTGTAAGGCTGAAGCTGTCCCGAAGGGTGTCCACAAATATCTGCTGAGACCTTAATACTGTGAGAGACACAGGGGTGCTGGGGGAGAGAGAAGCTAGTGCAGCCCTGCCCTAAGGGCATGCAGTCTGCAGGCAGACAGGATGGGAAAGCCCCGCGGTCAGGATGAGGAGAGGCGAGATGGTGGGGAGGCAGCACTGAGGGGGTGGGGCCCAGAGGAAGCACCGGGCAGGCTGGGAGGAGAAGGGCAGGCCGGGGTTCACAAAGCGTCTCCCCCTCTCATCAGCTCTTCCGACGTGTGGCATCAGCTCTGCCAGGAATGGAGAATGTCCAGGAGAAAAGCAAAGAAGGGAGTATCCTTTTCTTTCGACAAGTGAGTGAAATGATGTACTGGCGAAGCTGTTTATCTGTGCATTTATCCATGTAGCATTTTATTGCAGTGGATGGACACTCACTGGGTCTCCAGCCCAGCCTTTCCTGGACTGGTGGGGGTGGTGTGGCGCAGCTCTTTCCTTTCTGAGGCCCCATGGCTCCTCTGTTCAGGGACGCAGCTGAACTCCATGGTCTTTAAGCCCCTGTCTGACTCAAACCATCTGTGAAAGTTAGTTCTATCCGTCCATGCTTCTACTTCCAAAACAGCATGGGGATACCAAAGGGATATGTATGGAGTGATAGTGGGGGCAGGAAGTGAGAAGTAGTAACTCTCTACCTTTTTTTACAATGAACATTGATTTGTCATGAATACAAGCAGCATCTCCACTGCAGGAAAGGTTTCTATACATGGAGGATATGGTTTCAGTCTGCTGACTACAAAAGACAGCTCGCAACAGATGCCTCCTTCGGGCCCTGCCGGCTCCCTGTACCCACCCCTGCACAGCCCCTGCACCTCCCCAGTGCTCTGTGGAACAGGGTCTGCACACCATTCACGTCATCCAGCCCAAACCTGAGGCAACACCCGGTGGCTGAAATTGAAGCTCAGAGAGGTCATCTGATTTGCCTGATGTCACACAGCGTGTACATTATGAAGTTAGGATTTTGCTTTTTCCACATGCAGTTGTATTCCATTCTGGGACACTGTGTCCCTCCAAGGGCATCTGAGAGGATCACAGGAGAACTGTTTTAATGGGCGAGGACATTGCCCATGGACTGGCCTCCCTGCACTAGGCTGCCAGGAGAGGAAGCAGTCAGGTGCCCCCGCCTGTATCAGCCCCCAGAGCCTGGACACCCATTCCCTGGCCTGTGTGCCTCAGGATGCAGAGTGTCCCCACAAAGCTTCCCATTGGCCTCCAAGGGTAGAGACCTGTGATTGACCAGAGATGGAACCCAGGTAGCTTTGAAGGGCAGCATCAGGCTGATGAGGGATGAAGCAAAAGGAACTTGGATAGCTTGATGTTAGAAGCCAAGGAGGAGACAACTTCATGGCTGTGCTTCCCCTTATCCACCTGAGGCTCCTGGTTCTGGGGCTGGGTGAGGGCAGGGTCCCAGACACTATGAATGACGAGCCTGCAAGGGAAGCTAGGCCCTCCTCGGCCTTCCATGCAGAGCTCTCTCTCAGAGTAGACTGGAGACCCCTGCTGGCTCAGGCATGCCTGTTAAGGAGCAAGCACTGCCGGCACAGCCCCTGAGAGTGTCTCCAGGTTCGGTGGCCATGAAGCCTCCAGTCACAGATGAGGAAACTGAGGCTTGGAGGCTTGTCAGGGGCACCCCACAGCTCTGAGTAGCAGAGCTCGGCCCGGCCCTTCAGAGGAGAGCACCATTCTGCCACACCAGGGTGTCACGCATCACCTGGGATGCCTTTGAGATGCCAGGAGCTTACAGCAGCCAGCTGGAGGCAGGATAAGAGTGAGACCCAGAGAGAGTAGAGGGGCAAGGATGGGGGTGTTCTCTGTGATACCTGCAAGTGAAGAAAAGATGCAGACAGCTGCTGCCCATCCTGCCGGCTTCACAGACTGGCCAGGAAGGGGCTGTGTCCCTCCATTTGGTCTGAGTGGTAACTGTTTCACTTGCATTTTTCCAGAAACCCACCACAGAGGACTCTGGGCTGGGCCCACAGTCAGGTCAGACTCAGCTCCGAGTCCAGGTTGACAGCTGATGTGTTGTGACCATCCTGGTGTGCCTGGTGTACCCAGGTGTGGGGGACCTTTGGGCCCCTCGGGAGAAAAAGCACAAGGCAGATTGTAAGAGGACCACAGAGGGAGATGTGGCCAGCGTCCCTTCCAGCTATGAGGTCTCCCCATCTGGGCAGATGTGCCCCACCCTCTCACACTGCCTCAGAGCCAGCTGGCAGGGGCCTCCTGCCAGGTGGGTGCTAGAGCAGCCTGGAGCAACAACCAGGTAGAGTCAGCCACCACTCTGGCTCTGCGGGGCAGTGTACAGACATTCTTGTTTGCTTACAGTTCAAATCCAGACTTTTTGAAACTGGATACTTCGGGGCCATGTTGAGAATTGTGTGCAACAGTAGCAACCACACAGAGGCACTGCTTTGTGATGCTGTATGAAATGTTAGGACTCGGCTTCGTGGACTCAGCTCGGGGCTTGCTTCCAGGGCCAGGTGAAGGGCCGCTACATCTCATCATCATACCCAAGACATCAGGCATCCCTCAGGGGCAGCCCTGGCATCCCTTCCACCTCAGCAGCCCCACCCTGTTCATCCCCACTTTCTCAACAAGGGGAAGCCAAGGGGCCACAAGATGGCAGAGCTGCAAGCCCCCACTGGGTCTGCACATACAGTCCCCCTCAGCTGCTTTCTGCCCAAACACAGTACTCCTCCACCACATGGGCCCTTGGCTGGTTCTGAACAAGGCGGGCATATGCGAAACAGCAGCATGGACTTGTGCAGTCTGTGAAGAGGTTCCAAGCAGATGATGACAGTGAGGCCCAAATAGGGTCACACATGGCCAGGGTCTCCCAGCTGGTTGGTTGACACAGCTGGACCCAAATCCAAATGCTTGGGAGTCCACAGCCACTGTGCTCTCCACTGATCCCACACGGAGCTGTGGGAGGCTTTGTGCCCCAGCTGTGCATGCAGTCACAGGAGAGGCACTAGGATTGGGAGAGCTACCCAGCAGTTTGGGGAAGTTTGTAACAAGCTGTCTGGGGCCATCCTTCACTGGTCCAGGAAGCAGAGAGAAGAGGCGGTGGGCGCCAGGCGTGCCTGATGATGATGGTTCACATCACCCTTACATGGGGTCTGTGATGGGGCTGTACCTGAACAAGAGGGAAGAGGCAGGTGGAAGGACCCTGGCTCTGCCCACAGGAAAGGCATATGTTAAGCCTCCCAAGGCTTATGGTAAATGCTCACAGTGAGTCTCCTCTCTTGGGGCATTATTTAGACCCTGGATCCACTAATTCTTTCCTATCCTTTCCAGTCAGTGATGAACTCCCCCGCACTGTGTTTCAGCAGTACAGAGAATTACAAGTAACCAGGTGACATTAAATAAGATCTCTAGTAGGTGTGAAAGCACCTAGCAAATGATCTAGACCTGTGCTATCCAGTACTGTCACCACATGTAGCCATTTACATTTAAATTAAATAAAATTCTTCCTCATTATACTAGCCTCATTTCAAGTGGTCAATAGCCTATATGGCTATTGGCTACCATATTGAACAGTATAGATACAGAATATTTCCGTCATTGTAGAAAGTTCTGTTGGATGGTGTGGCTCTGGAAGTATCAGTAGAATTAGTTCTCCAGGTGTCTGTGCATTGGGAATCTCTCAGGGAACTTGTTAAAAATACACATCCTTGGCCCATCCTCAGATCTACTGAGGTTGGGTCCCAGGGAGATGCATTTTTAACAAGTTCCCAGGAGATTTAGATACAGTCCATCTGAGAACTGCTGTGCAGTGTACAGAAGCATCTGACTCAGATTGCTCATGAGAGATTTTGTTTTGTTTTGTTGTAATGGCAGGCAAGTGACTTCATTATTGAGCAGAAGGTCATGATGTAATTAACGGTGGCTATTCTTCCAGCTAGAACATTTGTTCTCACCTGGGGCCAGTTTTGCCTCCTCCCCTCTAGGGGACATTGGACAATGTCTGGAGACATTTTTGGTTGTCACAAGTGAGAGGAAAAGTGCTGTTGGCAACCAGTGGATAGAAGCTAGGAATGTTGCTCAATGTCCTGCATGCACAGGACAGCTCCACAACAAGACTAATCTGGCCCACAATGTCAGTAATGTTGAGGTTGAGAAGCCTGTGCTAGAGGGCCTTAGCATGGCCAGGTCATTTAAAGGCATCAACTTTGGGATCAGGTATCCTTGGATTTAAACCCAAGCTCCACCACTTCCAAGCTCGAAGATGAGTATTATAATAACCACCACAGGGAGTTGTAGTGTTAAAATGAGATAATGCATTTACAGTGTTTAGCAGTGGGCCTGGCACACAGTTGGTGCTGAGTATTAATTGAAAAGGCTTCACAGGGGAGGCGGCCAATGTTTAAGCCCTGGACCAAAGAATGAGGGCATATTTTACAGATGGGCCTGCTGAAAGGGGACAAGGTAGGCTCAGAAGAGGCACCTGGGGATGACGAGGAGACCACAGTGCAGAAGTAGACTGGGGCCACTGGGCCAGAGAGGGCCTGTAGAACTGTACAACCACTGCTAGGCAGAGATAAATGGACAGGGCATTTGTGGCAATGGGTTTTGCCAAGAACTATAGGAAGTGGAGAAATAGGTGTGCTTGACTGGAGTAGAAAGGACAACAGTTGGACTACAGTGGAGAAGGAGGGCAATTGTTTATTCTCTATTTACTTCATTTATATTTTGCCATGTTATAAAAAGTAAGTATGTACATACACACACACACATATATGCACAAAAAACAAGATAGTTACTTTGTGTATGTGTACACACATAGAAAATTGGGGCGTAGGAAAATAAAGGTAGGACAACAAGGAAAAGTCAGAGATAAAATCATAATCAAAATATTTCATGACTTAGGGATTTTTACAGGTAGCCAAAAAATTGGCTCTGAGTTTCCTAACAGCTAAGACAAAGAGGGAAGATGTGATCCTCAAGAGAAGCATGGCTTTTCATACTTCAAGCTGAAATAACCTCTCCCATAGTCCTTATATACCCCACCCCACCGCCATGGAATCGATTCTGAATCACATTGACCCCAAACTTTTCCAAGGCTGTAAATCTCTATGGAAGCAAACTGTCACATCTTTCTCCTGCGGAAACCACTGGTGGTATCGAACTGCCGACCTTTCGATTAGCAGTCAATTGCTTAGGATATCACCAACAAGTCCAATAGTGGGCCTTCCTATTCGACCCCCACTCCACCTACCCTTGTGCAGTCCTATAGCAGACACCAGAGCCCAGTCCAGGAAGAACAATACTGGGAGCTACCACAGGGCTTGTTCCTCCACCGTAATCAGGTCTGGTTTGATGCCAGCCTAAACAATGAGTCATTAAAGTAGCCATTTTCAGCCTAGTGGAGGCAGAGGAAGCAGCCTGGCTGTGCATTTTGAACCTGGTCCTCTGGTGATTCTGATAGGTGCTTCTCCAGACCACTGCCCCCTGCCCCCCTCCCCCC